GTCCAAAGAACCCAAGATCTCCAATTTCTACTCTAGTTTTACTCAAAAACCATCAAAATCCGGTTTGAACTAAAAATAAGTTTTGAAATTTAAAATCTTGAGATTCAAGAGAGGTTCTTTCAGTAATCTTACCTCGAATCCTTCTCTCGACGTTGACAACTTCTTTAAATCTTTCCTCGGTTCAAGATCCGTTTGATTTGGGACAAAAATGAGAGAGAGAGAGAGATGCACGGGAGAGTGAGAGAGAGAGAGAGAGAGAGATGCACAGGAAAGAAAAAAGAAAAGGGAAGGAAGGAAAGAAAAAGAAAAAGAAAAAGAAAAGAAAAGGAAATGGACAAATGTCAATATTTTAAAAGAGCAGTCCAGAAATGCGCCCATACACACTTCTTGGTTAAAATAAATTACTGAGAATAATTTAAATATCTTGGAACTATTTAAACTCACACGTGTCAGAAACATTTATTAATTAATACTCAATTAATAATCCAGATTAGGCACACTAATAATCTCAATTACCTTAATTAATCTCAGTTAATTCTTCAGGGTGTTACAGTTACGGAACGACTCTTGATTAAGAAATTGGCCAGTACTTCCATTTTAACCCGTCTTTATAATTAATTCTTGATTTTAAGGCCTTGTTCAATTCTCTAATTTGAGTTTTTAATTTTAGTTTACTATAGTAAAAAGTTCTCACAAAAAATCATATCTAATTTTTTTATTACAATAAAAAACGTTCACAAAAAATCACATCTAAACTCGAATTGAAAACTCAAACTGGAAAACTGAACTAGACCTAATACTTAAGGCCTGCATGTATGTTGATACTTGATAATCACAGCGTCCTTAATGGCACTGAGAGGGAATCCCACGAGTCTTGGCCGATAGTTGTTGTGCCACATAACACATGGTGGGTCGTGACACGGGAAAAGCTTTTGTGCAACTCAACGATAAGCTTACCACCACCGATTAGGTGGATAAACTATTTAACTAAAGCACACGTAGAACACAACGAAGTAGGTTTTTATGTCTTTACTTAGAGTAAATTACACTGTTACACTTAAAATTATTTATTTTTCCATAATAGATCCTAACTTTCAATTTTGATAAAATGCAATTTGAACTTAAAAAAAATAGTTACCGTTGAAGTTTGACATTTTGAGACACGAAATTTGCACATGACGTAGTTTTAAAAAATAACTGTGTGTCTTTTCATGTGCGAATATTGTATCTTAAACCATTAATTTGATAACATTCATTACCTCTTAAACCTCAATTGCTACTCATTTAAAGTATAATGTGCATTTTAC